TATCACCAGACTATGGGCAAAAGTCAAACCAGAAGACTACGATCAAACGTTGAAACACACTATAAGCTCAACTCGAGTCAAGTCAGACTTCAATTGGTAGTCGAGTCAACAGTCGGAGTCAGTTATAATCACGTTCAGTAGTGAATTTAAATTACAGTCAATGGTCGGTTCTGATTTATGTCCCTTGAGCAGCTTAACTGAATCAGTCTTACGTCAGGACGGTCGGTTGTGAGAAAGAGCGTCAGTTACGGTGGTTGGTAGTCGAGTCATTTGGGGAGGTCAAATCAGCTTGTGGTATTGCGTAAGTCAGATAAATTCCACCGTTGGGTCAAGTGTGATGTCAAAGTTAGATCAGTTATGTCAAGGTAAAAGTCATTCGTAAAACAAGCATACGGTATTTGGCGAATGTCGTGACAATTAGTCATGACAAACCGAAACCGTTTGGCTCGTCCAGACGGCGGTATGTGTTGTCATTCGGCTGGTCTGGCCTAATAGGATATTTCATCTGACGATTGTCAGCCGTCAGGGGTCAATCTGGTATCTGACAGGTCACGTCACATATAACAGTCACGAACTCCGAACGCTGGTCACTTCAGGAGAAAGTTGTAAGTCCTCAGAACCAGGTCAAGTTGATAGTAACTTTGTCTTTGCGTAACTTTGTTTCATTCAGATGATTGTGTCAGTATTTTGTTGGTCTATGGAATCAAAATTACGCAAGTCAATAGTTCGTCCATTTCATTCCAAGTTCCAATTCCAATTCCAAGTTCGTCCATTCAGGTCATAATGGTCTCGAAGTGACCAGGTCAGGCTAGCAGGGTCTAGTCGTGAAGTTAGTCAGCTGTGAATCTTTGGCGTCAAGTTACAAATGGAGGTCGGGACTTGGGAACAGTCTTGTCTGATCTAAGTCAACATGAAGTCAGTCTAGAGGTCTCAGAACTTACAACATATCATGAGAAGCATTTATGTTGCGTCTTTTGTGATGCTATCGGTCTTTGAGATCGTCAAGTCAGTCCTGATTATCGGCCTTTGTCAGGACAAGTCCACTTAGGAAGTCAGGTCTTTGCGGTCGTCAAGTCAGTCTCAAACTACCATGTCGGGTCATTATGTCATTCCAACGGCCAACAACGCTGGTCTTTTTAATGCTTTTAAGTGTTAACATGCTGGGCCTGTATGGTCGTACAAGGCTAGTGAGTCTAAACCAAGAGTCTTTTTTCAGGCCAAGTCAAGCCGGTTTGTCAGCTCTTACTGCACAAGTCAGTTTATGTCCAGTGTCAAATATGCCGTGAAGCTACAGTTAGTAGTCAAGGATGTCTCAAGCTAGTTACGTGGTGCCCGCATTTCAAGTCCGACTGGGTTGGTCACATGTTAGAACTCGCGGCAGGATGCAAACTTTGCATGTCGCCAAGTCAAGACTAGAGTCGTCAGCTATAGATAGTCGATAGTCGAGTTAGCCCTGATCATCAGATTTTGCATGTCACCAAGTCTAGCTATACCTAGTTGTTACTTGTTAGTCACTATTGGTCAAGTCAGTATGGAATTATCAGATATTTTCACGTCAAGTCAGTTTTGGGATGTCAGACATTATTTGGTCAAGTCATTCCGGAACTAGGTACTGAACTTTTCGATGTCAGGTCAGGGTTGCATTGTTAGGGATTACTGGATCAGTCAGCCTGGAACGTTCATATTTTAGACTTGTCAAGTCAACCCAGGTTAGACTATAAAACCTTGTCGTGTTGTCATGTCAGGTTACGAATGTTGGCACTATTGGTCAAGTCAGTATTGAACAGTCAGTCTCGGGCAAGTCGGTCTTGGCTTTATCATGCCGTCAGGTATAGGTTTCCTGTTTTACTGGTCCAGTTTGTATAAAACAACCATATTACACAATGCCGTCAAGTCAAGCTTTAGTTGCAAAGCATTCATAGTTTTCAGCAATCAAACTTTGTCATGTTACGTGAAATTTGATCGTCATCTCTCACTGGTCAAGGATCCACGATGCCGGTGTGGATAAAGGTGTCATGTCTTGGTAGAAGTCAACAAGGGTTCTCGACCTATGTGGCGTTAACATGTGAAGCCAGACTGGACTTGTCTGCACAGTCCTGTGACAGTCACTACAGACTTTTCAAGTCATTAAGCCATGTCATCGTCTTTGAGTTATCTAAGTCTCTATCGTACTTGATAAGTCAGTCTTGAACTGCTTAGGTTTGCCGTCGTCAAATTCTGACATGTCGTCAAGTCAGGCTAAAGAGTAAAGTTGTCAGTTAGTGATAGTCAAGTCAGTCTGAAACTATCAGGTTTTGCATATCGTCAAGTCAAGCTACGGTCGTCCACCATTATTGGTCAAGTCAGACTGAATCGTCATGCTTACTCTTGTTGCAAAGTCAACCTAGTTCGTCAGGTATTACTTGTCAAGTCAGTCTTCACCTATCAAACTCAGGTTTGGTCATGGTCCACGTCGTCAGGTCATGCTAGGGTTGACGGGTCTAAGTCATGTCATGGGCTAAGGCTGTTAGACATTCATGGTTCAGTCAGTTTTTAATAAGCAGACTGGTATGTCAGGTCAAGCTAGGGCTTTCAAGCACTTAAAGTCAAGTCAGTCTCTATCTGTCCAACTTTGTCATGTCGTCAAGTCGACCTAAGGTTGGAAGACATTGCTGTCTTGTCATCTGAACACTACTTTGTCGTATCGTGAAGTCAGTCTATGGATGTGTGTGTAAAGTCAATCTTGAATATCGGTAAAGTCAGGCTTAGGTTGTCAGATATTACTTATAGGTCAAGTCGGGCTTAGACTCTTGAGCTTTGAGGTCATATTATATTGCCAAGTCATTATAAAGTTGTCAGGCTTGTCATCTATTCAAATTTGAGACCGGCCATCACTAATCAATCTTCATCATGTCAGGTCAAGCAAGGGTTGTTTGATTTTACTAGTCAGGTCAGTCTTGAACAATTATGCCTTGTGATGTCAAATCAAGCTAAAGCTGTCAGACTTAACTGGCCCAGTAATTTGAACTAGGCTTTGACATTCAAGGCAGTCAAGCTAGGGCTGCCAGTCATAATTGGTCAAGTCCGTCCATCAAACTTTGCCATGTCAAGTCAAGGTTGTAAGGCATCACTGTTCAAGTCAAGTCTGAGCTGTCAGGTCAGGCCAAGGTTAGAGGAATTGTCCGGTAAAGGGAGGCTTCGTCAGTCGTCAAGTCGGGCCAGGGATATCAGAATTGTCGGTCAATCCAGGCTTTTTCAGTCGACATGTCAAGCTATGGTTATCAGAGTTAATCGGTCAAACCAGGCTTAGTCAGTCGTCAGGTCAGGCCAGGGTCATCAAAATTGTTCGGTAAAGTCAGTCTTTGTCAGCTGCCAGGTCGGACCAGGGCTTGTCGGTTAAGTCAGCCTTTGTCAGTTGTCAGGTCAGGCATTGTCCGGTCACGTCAGACTTTGTCAGTCGTCAGGTCATGCCAGGGCATCAGAATTATTCGGTCAAGTCAGTGTTGTGCTTCTAGGCATGTCATGCCTAAGCACACCAGGGTTGCCGGGTTTTGTGGTAGTCAGCTCAAGCTAGAGTCGTCATATCTTCTTGGTGGGAAAGCTGGAATAGAACATCACTTCACGACGTCGGTCCAAGATACCAGTGGCCTTTTTATTGATCGTCATGTTAATATGATCGTTAGCCTGAGTCGAAACCCCATGGCTTTGTTTGTACGTCTGTCAAGTCGGGACCGTCAGTTGGTACGGGTCGGTCACCCTTTCACGATTTAGTCATGTCATCATGTCCAGCTAGGATTGTCAGGGCTTGCTGGGATCAAGTCAACATACATAGAACCTATCCAGGTCAATTCAAGTCAAGTTTTTCATAGTTCATTCGTGATCGAACCGGCTAAAATATTTCAGTTAATGCCAAAACAAACTGGACTTGGCACGTCGCACGAATAGTTGAGTCAGATTAGGGATATCAGTCACACTGAGTCAATACAAACAGTACCATGCCATCAAGTCAAGTCAATGCTTGTGCGGGTCTCTGGTCGTCAAGTCACTCATCATTCTACCAGTTACCAGGGCGTCAGGTTGATTTGGTCCGGCATTTAGCTGGTAGTCAAGTTGGTTTTAAAGTCGGATCATTTGCGCCCGATTGGGCAGCCATTTATAGTGTCCAAGCCTGACTGATAAATTCAGTTGCATGTGTCGAGTCATGACAGAGTACCAAGTCAAAGCAAGGCGTCTGGCCAAGAAAAGTCATGATTCTGACCGGTCAGTATGCAATGGCGGGTCACACTGTGGAGCGCGGTACAGGTCATGTCAAAGTCGGATCGTGAGCAGTCTGCTCATCGCCGTCCGTCGTTCATCAACCAAGTCATATCGTCTGTCCACATAGGTCAGTCCCGTCAGACGTCAGAGGTCAGCTGTCCAATTGTCTGCAGATTGTCCAATAGACATGGTCGGTCCCGTCAGCGTCTGTCGGCTGGTCTGCTAGAAACTGTTTGTCATATAATCACAGCTCAAGCAGTATGTGGTCAGCTGCAGGTTCCGTCAACGTCTATCGAAGCGTCTGTCAAACGTGATCGGTTTCGTCAGTTCTGTCCAATAGTCTGCCCGGATATAATGGGCTCTGTCGATTGTTCAATTGTCTAGAAGCTGTCTGTACCGTCAGCGTCTGTCTTATTGTCTGTCTGTTTGTCCACCAGAAACTGTCTGTCATGTCATGGAAAGCTGTTTCTGGTTTGGTTCAGTTTCAGGCCCAAGCGTTTGTCTGTTAAAAACTGACAGAATTGTCTGTCTCGTAAACTGACGGCCCCGTCAGGGTCTACCCAAGTGTCCGTATGTCTGCCAGGAAAAGTCGGTAACGTCTGTTTGTCCAACGTCCGTCTGCACGTCTGCCAAGTACTTGCGATCATCCAGACCTCCAGTCGTCTGCACAGATCCCGTCAGTCCCGTCCACACTGTCCAGTCGTTGATCCGTCGGTGAACTGTCAGTCCAGCTGGTTCAGTCAGTCCCGCAAGATAGTCACAGACGGTGTCAGAAGTCCATTGTATGTCCATTGTCCACATAGGCACACAGGTCATACACAGTCAGTCTGTGGTCTGCAGTATGGAGTCACAGGTTGTCGGTCGTACAAGTCAGTATTGCAGTCACACAAGTACAATTGTCCGGTCAGTCTATTGTCATTCAACAGCACTAATTAGTTTACTGACAATCAAACGTAGTTCACAAGCGGATTTCTAGGAAACACCTTAGTCAAAGTCACGTCCGGCAGTAGGCTCGTCAAGGACACAAGTCGAGATTGCTCCGTCAAATATCGGATTACCAAGTCCGTTAAGCACATTGGTCATGTCTGGTTCGTCTGTCCGATCAACGCAATCGATAGCAAAATTGTCAGCGTCCAATGTCCAAACATGGCTTTATCGGTCACAAAGGGAAGCTCGAATCGTAGCCATACTGCCATGCTGTTTTAAGCTAAAAATGTGACTATTCCCGGTCACAAAATATAGTCTTTGATAAAGGACTCATCGGGTAATGGTATGCCTAATCCTTGCAAAGAATTTTTCATGTGCTCCTTGCACAACTTATTTGCATGCAACAATTAAACTACAGGAAGAAAAAGGGCATGCTGGTACAACTTTCCAAAAGCGTTAGGAACCCTCTTAAATTAATCGATATGTTCAACTATAATTCGAATTGGTAACGGGTCATTTGAGGCTTATCACATTATGACCTTGTCTTTTGTTAAGCCGAAACATTCGGCGAATATTTACAAACATTGAAATCATGCCACTGGACAACCAATACTTCCAGCTTGGTGCCTGATTTCTGCGGCAAGTAGGTAACATCACGGTCCTTTAGCGGGGTTTGGGTGTGAAAGCTCAGGTTTTCGTCTCCAAGAGGAGCTCGGTAACATCGACTGGAGGGTTTGTCGTTCACACATGACTGATCAGACGCCCCAGTTAGCTCGTGGTACGGTGGGTTCGTTACCAAAGGCTCGTGTGCACCAGTCTCACAGGATAGGTACGTCTCATCACGATATGTCACCAAATTGTCACATCATGTCACGAAGTTGTCACGCCACGCACCACACGTCACAGTACAGATTTGGGTGGGAGCGTAATTGTAGCGTCCAAGTCACGTATTGGCGAGATCATGTATCGATATGGTCACGGATCAAGGTGAACCTGCCTTGAAGACTCTTTTCACGAAAACGTCTCACAACTCAACTTATTGCAAAAATAGGGCGTCGCAGCGGGGTTGCCGTGGTCCGGTACGTTAACTGTTTAGGGTTCACTGATAAATAATAGATTCCGAACCTATGCTCGGGTTCACTTACTGAATACTGACTCTTGATCAGTAAAACTCAACAAAATATGTAACAAAACAAAATAACAACTTACACATATAACAACAAAAAGACAGCCGTAGTCAGTAAATCTACGAATGGAAAGCCAGTCGGGGGCTGACTATAAAACGCCCGTGTGGGGCAGTCGTGTGTCCGGTCAGTTCAGTGGCTGTGTCACCGGAGCTACTCCCCAGGGCCTCTACTGTCGCAGATGGTGCGGCCGGACGTGCAGCGGTCACTGTCAGTCCCCTCCCGTCCCTTCCCGTGTGGAGCGGTCGGGAGTTCAGTAACTGTCCCCTCCCGTCCCTCCCCGATCGGTGCTGTCGTCAGTCGGGTCGGATCAGTACCACTGTCAGTGCCACTGTCGGCTGTCAGTCCCCGGCAGACTGTACCGGACAGGCTGCCAGTGCCGGGCTGACCGGGCTGACCGGGCCGAGCCGCGCCCTCAGGCGGCCGGCGGTGTGGCGCCCGCCGCCCGGCGCCGGCGCACCGGCCGGCGCGCCAGCAGGTCACCCAGGTCGAGCAGGTCGTACAGCGGCCGTCCCGTGTAGGCGATGGAGGCCGGCAGCGGCGCCGGCAGCTCCTCCAGGTAGTTCTCGGCCGGCTCCTGGGCGGCCTCCAGCTCGTCTTCCAGCAGGTACTGGGGCGACGGCCGCCGGTTGCTGAGCGAGCTGCGGGCCGGCACCGACCGAGTGTCAGCGAGACAGCAGAGAGAGGGCGGTGGCAGTGGCGTTGGGAGGACGGCAAATGGGATTTGGATTAACAACAGAGCACGAAAGGCCAGCTGAGGTGTTTCTGTCGTTTCTACAGTCTGACCGGTTGAACCCTGTCCCGAGTACAGATGTGACCCATGTGACCCTCAGCTGAGCCCTCCACCTCGTGGCCCGTCGCCCGTCTCACCTGTGTATCTCTGCGAGCTCCGCAATCTGCTGCTGGCCCAGCGCCGTGATGTTGAGGCGCACGCGGTTCTTGGGGGTGAACTGGAAGGCCTCGGCCGGTCGGGAGAGGGCCGGCTCGGCCGGTGGCGGCGGAGGGGACGGGGACGGCCGCGGCGGCGGCTCCTGGTTCTCGGCCCACGGTCTCAGGCTCACCCGGCGGATCAGCTGACACGACACCGGGCGGTTCCTGCGGCGGCGAGGGGATGGGTAAGATCGAAGAATCCAAATCACCCAAACAAGCAAATATAAATCCATTAACTTTTGTTTGTTGAAATTATTGAAAGAAATATTGAAGAAAAAAAACGAATCGTCTTTCAGTCATTAAAAAAAAAAATCGAGCAAAGCAATCATTCTTTTATCATCTTTGACATGGCGTTACCCGGGGCCCGCTCACCACCACCCAAACCCCCGCCATTCGCGCGCTTCTCCTCACCTCTCGCTGACGAACCCGGTCCGCATGACCAGCGGCCGCACCACGTCGATGTCGTCCAGGTTGTCGCACAGCACGCGCGCCAGCGTCGTCTTCCGCAGCTGGTGCAGCTGGGAGGGTGTGAAGGACGACTTCATGCCGCCGTTCTCGAACCAGAACCGGTCGCCCACCTGGAGGGGGAGGGGAGAAGACGGAGTTTGTCAGGTCTGATGGTTGGAACTTGGAACAATGCTTGGAGACACGGTAATGGAGTTTTTCCGTCGTTGTTGAGTTATGGCTTGACATTTGAGGGCGGATGATCCCTTAATGATTTTGTTGTATTTGTTCATTGATGCGGCCGAATAGCGATAAATCTAGCATTCATCTATCGTATTCAATTATTAATACGGTTAATTGACGGTACCTTGAGGTTGAGGAACTGCTGACCGATGATGCAGGAGAATGTGGGCCCCACGAGGCCGCCCTTGACGGGCCGCTCGGCCAGGCCTCCGGCGAACAGGTCGATGTCATCCAGATGTCTGCCGAGAGATGTCCCGGGTCAGACGGCTGCCGGCAGCCCAGTCGGACGGCCGCGAATAGCTCTCCGTCCGGCCGCCAAAGGTCAGACGTCGGTCGAATGTGGGCGGAAAGCTCAGCCGGCGGGGATGCCGACGTTCGAACTTCAGTCGAATGTGAAATTGAATTCTCGCATGGCGATCGGTCAAATATCCGGGTTTTCGCTCAGCCCACGTCAAACTCTGGTGCTGTTTTGAATTGCTTACATACTGGAGTTGGCAGATGAACGGATAGTTTGGAATCCCGATGAACTGAACTGAATAAAACCGGCAGCCCGGCGAGTGGACTCACTTGTAGGCCACACGGAGCCTGCCGACGCTGTCGTCGTCCATGACTTTGAGCAGCTGGGCCCAGTTGGTGAAGCGGCGCAGGCCGCACTCGCGTCTCCAGGTGTTGTACGGCGGGAGTCCGTGGTCCCGCCCCCGCTGGATGTTAATCGATGCCAGGTCCATGCCGAACGGCTCTGTGGGAGTCAAATGAGAAACAAACGATCACCAAACGGCCGCGCGGAACCATTTAGGAACCAGGAAGCGTCGTTAAGACAGTGAGGACGGAGCCGGGACGGCTCAAAACCTGTCTATCGCCCTATTTTGGCATCACTCACAGATCCAATGTCTTCTCATTGAGCATGAAACAAGTAATACAAGCACCGTGAGTCTCAGGAAGTGTTAGGCACTCGGCACTCGCGGAGATACATGCCCGTGCGTCTGAGTTTGCGGTGCGACACTCACGGTTGGTCTGGAAGAGTCGGTTGGTGAGCTCGCGGCTTATGAAGACGTCGCGCCGCTGCGCCGGCTGGTAGAGCAGCCCGAACATCAGTCGGTCCACGCTGCCGATGTTGTGCAGCTGAGCAGGATTCATCAGCTCCTTGTGCAGCGAGATGTCTGCAGGGGATGAGCTACAGTCAGCCAAAGACAGCGTGGGCTCAGTTCGTACAGTTTCATTGGAGGATAACTTAAAATGTGGAATTGTGTGATGTATTGTGAAGAGCCATTGGCAGCGGAGCTCATCGGAAAGCAGTCTCTGTCGTTTAGAGCTTGGATGTTTGATTATGATGGCATTGCGATGAAGTCATGCATATTGCGTCTATCGCATGCAATACCTGCATCATTTTTACCGCACACTGCATATGTGCAGTGAGCGAGCTGTTGTGTGGCAACAGGCAGCCGAGGAGGAGCCAAATTGTCTCAGCGACACTAAGCCGCCACCAGCGCGATTCGCTCGCTCACCCACCGAGGTTCATGTGGTTGCCGAACTTGTCGCAGCGGCTGAGTTTGGAGTTGACCAGCGAGTGGCCGAACCGGAACGCGGCCGCCCCGAACGAGTTGGCGATGCTCGGGTTCACCGAGCTGTTGTAGCCGTAAAAGTAGCCGTACTTTTGCAGCGTCACGTCGAATATCTTGATGACTGAGCGGCCTGAACGGAGACACAAAGGCGTCAGTTAACTACCGATAGAAGAAATCCGCAGAAAACTAGAACATTTGTGTAATGTGAATTATTTACTTTTACTTACTCATCGTCATTGATAGCGTCAAATAATCCAAAATGAGTTAGTTCGCTCACCGAGGACGACGGGCAGCCACTCGTTGTAGGTGATGACCTGCATCATAGCACCAACCACCTTCCTGGACTCGTGGAAGAGCCGGTCGTCGCCCCAGCCGGGGTTGAAGCGCGCCAGCTCGCGCGCCACCCGGTTGTGCTCGCGCAGCCACAGCGTGTGCATTGACGTCAGACCTGCAGCGGAAGTGCGTCGTCAGAGCGAGCGCAGAGCGGTCGCCGAGCGGCGGTCAGCGCGTGTGTTGCGACACGCAGCCGGTCGCGGTGCGACGCACAACGACCGGCCCGTGGCGGCGCACGTGCTGCGCGGTCGGTCGCTCGGGGACAGTTTCACTGGGATAGTGTGCAGACCGGCCCTGGGGGTCGGTCGGTCGGTCGAGTCGCTGCATGGTATCAGTCCCAATCGCTGTACGATTTAGATTTGGGTGGAGGACGCGTGTGCTAGTCGAAAGTACGGTCTCCGAAAAGGTGTCGATGGCTTGCGAATTACGGTTGATCTCGGATACTCTATCAGATCTTAACGGGGACAGTCCTAACGGCGCGGTGGCTGGCTGAGTCTGCCGGTTCTTCACAACCGAGCCACTGCCGTTAGCTGGATTCTATTGCCAATCGTTAGGTAGCACTGCACCTTTTTACGGTGAGGAGCGACCGAGCCAAGCCCAATCAGAGACCAGTGCCGCCCATCTACCGTGAAACCCGACCCGATGACCATGACGTCACGCAGGGGCGGATCCAGAAAATCTCCAAGGGAGGGGCCATTAGAAACCAGGAGCCCCCCCCCCCATAGTCCCACCTGTTGGAGGCCCCATCTTCCCACTTGGTGGCCCCCCCCAAAAAAAAACTGCGTCTATTGAGCTTATCTAGCTGTTCAGGCAACATCTCAACATCTGTGCAGGCTTGGAGGCCCTCTGTGCAGGTTAGGAGGCCCTGTAAAAGTGGTCATCTCTGTGAGTATAAGAGACCTCCAAGTTATGAAAAGCCTTACCAATCTTCTAACAAAGAAGTCTTCTCAGCTAGTCTTCTAAGAAATAACTAAGTGGGTAGGTTAAAAAAAAACTCATCGGATTTCGGCCACTTTATTTTCAGGAGGCCCCCTTTTCAGCTTTTTAACTTTTTAACTTTTTATTTTATTTTTGAAAAAAATCGGCCAAGGGGGGGGGCCATGGCCCCCATGGCCCCCCCCCCTTGTATCCGCGCCTGACGTCACGTGACGTGACGGCTGTGTGACGGCCGCGGCAGATAAGCGTCACCCGGCCGGACGGCGTCATCTGCGCGGTGACGGACGTCACGGTGGCCGATGGCGGACCTAGCGGACTGTCAGACCGACCCGCTAGTCAGGAGAAACGCTCGGGATGCTGCGTCGTTACAGCGGTCCGCGCAGATGCCCGGCAGAGGCCAGTTTCGCACGGTCATTTGCTGTCGCCGCCCGTGGGAGAGTTTGGTTTGGACAATTATAAATGACCGGCGATGTGTGTTTTACAGATGTTCTCAAAGCGCGACGCTAAACGGTAAATTCTAGCAGAGCTGACTGATGAGATTTTGACTTATCACGGAGGCCGGAGCTACCCACTAGCAAATGTATATAGCGACCTGCCCGGCTAACTGCCCTGACTGGTCGACTGACCCGGTGCGACTCTGAAGACTTCCCGACTGGCCCGACCTCTCTGACCGTCGGACTGACCTGGCTGCTCGTTGACGCGGTCGTCGCCGGCCGTGAAGCAGTAGAGGTTGTCGTTGGTCATCCTGCACTCGGAGTGCACATCGGCGCCGCCCGGCGGCAGCAGCGGCTTCCGGTAACGCAGATGGGTGTAGCGCAGCATACCTGTTGGGTGACAATGGTTCTGGAGTTAGTATCTCACCGCTGTCGACGAGGACATATGAGCGATTCTTTGGTAAAAGTGTAGCGCACCCAAGTTCAGTCGGTACAGTGACTGTCGTCCCGTCGGCTGGACGTGCCGGCGCGAAGCTCACCTCCGTTGAAGAGCCGCAGCTGGGTCATCTCCTCGTCAGAGGAGCCGTACACGTTGCTGGCGTCCAGATACGAGGTGATCTGGTTGATCTGGTCCCGGGGACCGAGGGTGCAGTCGGGCCGAGGGGCCGGCGACGACCTGGCACAGAAGGTTACAGCGTTAGCTCCACAGACCCCAAAGTTTGGGGTGGTTGTGCAGCAATTATTTTACTTAAAGATTGTACAAGAGGCACTAGAGAGAGCAAGCAAATGTAAACATTATTTCGGGCTACAAAGTGAGCGGGCGAGGAGCGTCTAAGTACCTACCTGACGAACTCCATGCAGGTCTGGTTGAAGCGCGAGTAGAACGGGTCGTAGGTGGGGATGTTGATGGGCATGCAGTCCGGGTGGCGTTCGTCCACGGGCAGCTCTCGGCCATCCAGGCAGCAGCGCGGCACAGAGCCGTTGAAACCGCGCGCCTGCGCAGAGGCTATCGAAAGGGGGCGGGGACATCCGGTCAGAGGAGGCTATAGACCGTGGTGGGAGCTGTAGGTAGAAATGACCCTACGAGCAACGCTAGCAAAGTAATTTGTTCAAAACAAATTGTATAAAGGTGCATTGAAACAAATAACAAATTAGCAGTATCTTATTTAAGCGTGAGAGTGTGACACGAGAGGCCGCTCGGGGGTGGGATCAGCAGAGGAGCCGAGTTGCGGGCGCGCGGAGATACTCACAGGTGAGGTCGTGGTCCAGAAACTGCCCCCACTGCATCACCATCATGGTGATGCGCGTGGAGGTGAGGTTCACATCGCGGTGCACCGTCAGACTGACGTCCCTGGCCGACGGCAGTGGAGTGCCGCCGTTCACCGATCGGCGCGCCGTCTGCACTCCTGTGGGCAGCCACCGCGCCGCTGACGTCAGAACACCGCGCGCCACTGACGTCACCGCGCGCCGCGCGCAGGGCCTTCACCGCCAATCGCGCGGAAAGTGGCGTTATGAGCATCATCAGGCCCACTGATTGGAGCTCCAGTCGCGTAATAGGAAACCGCCCGTCTGGCCCGATCGGAATGTAATGGGAATATTGCGCTCCAGTGAGCACATTCTCACAGATAACCAAATTAAAAGCAGAAACAAAGTGCACTCAATGCGCGTGGCGCCGAGCGCCAGGCTGAGGTAGGCGCCTAATTGCCAGGATACGGTGTCACGTAATGCTCCGTCTACCAGTAATTGCCGAGGCTCTTTTATTACAATATTCATATAATTTTTCAGAGACAGTTTTTCAGTTTTACTTTCTTTAAACGAAATGAAATATAGATTTTAACGTCACCAAAAATATGTTTGAAACACCACTGCATTTATGTGCTGGGATGAAGGCGTTTGTAGCTCCGCCTACAAACCCGTCTTACCATCGTTGTATCTGGGTGGCAGGAAGCGGGCGAACGGTGTCATGGCGGCTCCGAGATACCTGCTGTTGGCATTGTTACAGCTGCCGTCCGCCGTCCTGAAGAGGTATGGGGCGAAATGTCAGATGTGAATACCGAGAACACATCCGGGACGTTTATTGGATTACGAATCCCTCCGTCATGTGAGGAATAAATCAACCGAAATAAAAGGTAATGAAATGCCGTGATATTTTGAGCTAATATATCCGGCTCGGTATGAAGTTACATAATTGTCAGCTTTCATGGTCTCTTCTAAATGCCACCGGACGTCTATATGGTAAATCCTTGACCCGGAGTGACTGATCTTTAGGTATATGACTGCCGAGACTGTATAGGGACTGCTGGGAGCCTGACCGGATATACTGACCTGAAGTAGACAGAGAGCGGCGGACAGGGCTCGGTCTGGTCGGGCTCGGGCGACTTGGTCGGACAGCCGTCGTAGAGGTCCGTGCCGCGCACAGAGACCTCCTGCAGCTGGACCATGTGTTGGCGGGCCAGCTGGTACCTGAGGGTGCCGGCACAGCTGTCAGGGACACCGCAGGACCGTGGTTATACAGCGGCATCGAGGGCACGTCACGGGAGCTGTGCTTGCATTGGGTTTGGGGTTTTGGAAGGCTCAAGCAAGGATATTGAATTGTCCTAGAGCCCATCAGGTAGTGCACGTAGCTGTAACGGACCGTGAAATGCAAATTTAGCGTCGTCCCTCGCGTAGCGGTGGTTCGGAGGCTGCTCCGCCGGCGGTCCCGTTATAAGGTGAGGCTCTGCGAGGGCCGGTACCGGTGTCTAAATGCAGTCCGCTTTACGGCTCTGTGGTTACATCTCCGCCTGACCGTATGGAGGCTGGCAGGGAGACGAGAGAGGAGAGAGAGAGAGAGAGAGAGAGAGAGAGAGAGAGAGAGAGAGAGAGAGAGGGGAGGGAGGGAGAGAGAGAGAGGACCGTCACGGACGACTTGTCACCGCCGCAGATGTCCCTCTGAGACCGATATGTGCCGTGTGACGTTGCGGTACCCAAGTTAGGTATGACTGAACCGTTCTCCGTTACACAAATCATTACGGGTGGTACAAAATCCACTAACTGGCTTTGCTTTAGCTTCCCCACGATTTCAATGTTTAGGCAAAAACGGAAATCGGCTGCCCGAGCTGCTTTTTCCTGCAATCTTCGCGACTTTCATGAACTCAGGACAGCTCTCTATTTGTTCAGCCGGTTCAGGCTGTTCGAAAGCGCGTCCCGACAACTTCTTAACGCGCGCTTTCCAGCTTTTCCACCCCACCAAGCCGCATTCCTGTGCCACCGATGAGCACGGATGTTTTGTTTAATCCCTTCGCTCAACATTATCTCTTTGTTATCTACCCCACGTCAGCCTGTGAGTCAGGTTTTCACGTCACCCCGACCAGCGTTGCTGGTGGAGCGGTTGCAGCCTACCCTCTCTCCCTCCCTCCTCCTTGCTACGTCACGTGACCGGTTGTGGGTCAGCGACGAGCCGGGTCAGCAGCCTCGCGGGGAGCTTCCATGGAACCGGCTCGGCGCGCGGGCTGACCCACTTGGCGGTGAGCGGCCCCGCCGCGCCGGGCCGGGTCAGCCGGACTGACGAGTGGCTCACAACGGGCTCACCGGCACGGATTGCAGCCCTAAGTGTGCCGACCGGACCGGCTGATCGAACGGAGACGGAACTGGTAGCTGCAGCGACTCACGAATGGTACAAGGGATTGAAGGACGAAGTAAGCCGTCCAGTCCGATGGCTAAGTTGTCATTATTATTGGTACGATGACGACTGACAAGGCAGATATTTACGCAATTGTGTTTTCACAAGTATGAACAGCTTCGGACATTAGTTTGCCTTGGGACGTTTTTTATGACCCGTAGCGCGCATTTAAACGGCATTACACCCAAACGGACGGTCTCGTTACATGAGAGAGGACAATGGCTTGCGGATAAGAGCGCCAGATCGGCTTACGAAAGGATCCCGATGAGAGTGATACCGTTCGCGGCGTTTCCAAGGAGATTCACGACGAATAAAGTAAACTTTATATATCGCTCATTCGCGGCAGTTCCCCCACCAAATCCACCGAATTTCAGCAGAGTGAGTATGCGCAGGATTTCTCGAAGCTGTTTAGCAAAGAAACGTTAAATACCTACTAAATGGCTACAGTCAGGGGCTAATCAAGCTGCGGTAAGTGATTAGATTGGGAGCGAAATATGGTAATGGAGCTAGGACTCCGCCCACATTTGACATTTAGATCAGGAACAGTTACCAGCTTATGTCGGTTCTCATGACCAACCCGATGTGCATTTTTTGTTATCATTAATTAGATTTAAACACATCCCCAGCTCCCAGCTCTAACTCCATCGAGGCACTCTATGATCATGCAGACCCTCCCGACTCACGGCTCATGAGTAGCGACTGACCTTTTCGATATGAGGCGGCTGGCGTGCAGACTGGCGTAGCCATACTTGGCGAGGTGCTTGGCGCGGGGCCGCTGTCGGTTGAAGGCGGCCAGGTACGAGCCGGGCTCGTCCGGAGACAGGGACAGACCTGCCGAGGAAGTCGGTCGTCACTCGGGAGTCAGAGTCACCGTCACAGCGCGCCGGTCGGAGTCCGTCCCGTCGGCTGGCGGAGTCGCGTCTGCCGCCGGCCCGGACGGACCGACGGACCGGCCCACCGCTGGCCCACTTCACATGGACGGCCAGTGCGGTCGGTCGGCCGGCGAGCCGACCTGGATAGGAGCCGCGGCCGGGGCCGGTGAACCGGGACCGTCAGCCGCCCACTGACCCGGAACGCAGCGCCCGAGAGCGGGCCGACCGACCGCCGCGCCGGCTCCCGGAACACCCGCCGCTCATGGCGCAGTTCGCAAAGACTTAACACGCGCGCATACTATGCACTGTTATAAAACAACGGCTTTGCTCAGCGAACTTGAGCACAATACGAGCCGTGCTTCGTGAACGAGTTCCATACATGTGTCAGAAAGAACTATAACATCCACGTGAGTAAGCGTAACATTATAAATTTAATTTTAAGTGTTTATCTTATTTAGGTCTTTATTTACTTATATCATTGCTTATGTCTTGCTCAATGGCACGTTCTCTGTTACAGACGGAAACAGTTTGATATCAGCATTCACTTGGTAATTTGGCAATCGCAGTAAGCGTGGTGGATGGGCACGCGGGTCGCCCAGGTCTGTCCTGTTACTGAACCCTCTCCATTTCTGCGCTCGGGACTCTGGTGTCCCGGAGCCGCTCCTGTTGTCGGCTGCCCTGTCTGGTGCTCGTTTTTGTCCACGGGGCGTGACCCGCCGTGTCGGCTGGGCCACCGAACTGGGCCACCGTAGAAGTAGGTGAGGAGGCGACCGTTAACGGTCCTACCGCCAAGGCACGATCGTGAAGAACAAGACGGAACGATAGTCATCGCGACAACCGTGACGCAGCCGGGCGTCAAGGAGGGAGGAGGGGACTCATGATTCTCCGCTGCACACTGAGGCAGCGACCTGGAACGGTGAAATTCATACACCAGCCGCGGCGTCCAATTATGAGCAGCGGAGACGCTCCGTGGCGCGCCCGTCACGCCGGGCCGTCACGCGCTCGTGTCGCGTGCGGCACACATGTGACCGGCGCGTGACGGGACGCTCTCTTGCCGGCGACTGAGACGCTCTCTTGTCCTCAGCGACAGAGCGCTGAGGACGTCACGTGCAGTGCCTCGTGCCGGAGTTCCGGCGCCGGTCGATCGTTAGTCAGCTCTCGTTGGAAAGAGACGGGCTCGGCCGCGATTATGAGCAACCATCCCCCGGGAAAATGTTGGCGGAAGGCGTTACCAGCCGCTCGTTGCCAGCTTATTTAGCTATTTTTGTACGGCCTCCACCAGTAGACAAAACATGGCTTAAAGTCCCGTTCTTATGCCCTATGACCTAACGAAACACTATTTCCACAAAGTTGCGCTACCGTTGCGCTCGTCAAATGATGTTTTACGCAACGCATTTACCGTCGAGAATGCATCCAACCACGGTGTCTTTAACTCAATGACGTGGGAAGGATGCCAACAGGGACACCGAACTGTATAGTTTATCACCGAACACTAAGCAGTTGTGCCTATTTGGAGGCAAACCGCTGTAAAATTGCGCCGGATGTGGTACGGGTCGACGGAAACCGCAGTATTAGTTCTCATATACCGACGGCCTCGGAGCGGCCGGCCGGAGCTGAACGGAGCTCGGCGAGTCCGGCCGGACGGTAAGACGAGCAACGCTTTGGAGTTCTGGGGCCCGGCACTACTGTCGTGTTACACGATCGGTTTTGCAGTTACAAACAAGGTGCAATATGTAATACGCTCATTTGCAATATGTTGACAGCCTGCTGTTCGTTGGTGGAGAAGATAAGTCAATCAAAGTTAATCGGTCTATCATTATGCATATTGACTGTCATGGAGAATAGTTTATACGTAATTTCACCCCTATTCAAATTGTTATGACAACAATTCAATACCACTTAAGGTAAGTTTCTCCCGTTTACATCTAATGAGCATAAGAATAAATGAGTGCTGTTGTGGTGCTCGAGAACAGAAGTCACCGGCCGCCGTTATACACAAATATTCACGTATTGTACTCACCATTGCCGTCATGATTCTATCAGCGATGACACCAGTCACCGACTCAGCTTCAATACTGATACTGCTGTCCTGAGCGTGTGTGTCTACTGGAGGCGTCACCACTACTGACTGAGGGAGCGGCGGGTCGGCTGGCAGCTGCCGCGCGCGACGCCCACCCTCCACCACTGCTGAGGAGAAACTGCCACCACCACCGCCGCCGCCGCCGCCGCCGCCGCCGCCGCCAACGGCAGACGACCGGTGAGCGGCCGTCACGTGATCGTCGTCACAGCGCCACCAAAGCACCACGTGACACTATAGCGGACGCACTGACCCCAATCGTACCGATTTCTCGCCGGGGCTGTTTGGCGGACTCGGTAAAAGAACTGGCTCGTGGCTGACCGTCCGGGCGACTCCCGACCGGTGACGTCCGGTTATCGGCGGCGACTCAATCCGCATTCCAGGACGATGCACATCAACATGGCTAATAATACTTAATGTAAGTATAAAGGTGTATGTGTATGTATAGGTGACATATACCTATCTTTTTTGTTGTTGCATCGATGAACGTCAACCCACACCAAAGTTGAAACCGGTTACCTATATCTAAAATGTTTGCTTTAGCGATGATTAACGGTTAATAGGTTCGACTTTGGAGCAATATAATAGATAAATAAAGTATAAACTGATTGACTGATGTAAGAAATGCAAAATTCCAGCCTTTAAACTCACTTTTGATTATTAAGGCGCTAAATGCCATACGAGGGTAGGTACGGTTGTTTTTAGGATAACATCTGCCTAAGAACTCCGTTTATTAAATTTGTTGACTAACTCAGCTCAAAACATTAGTACCTAAGCATATACGATCTCAACCCTATGCGGCGTAAGATTACGGGCGCTAATAGATTCTACATACTGGTCAAAGACGAGAAGGAAGGCTCCTACAGGCACTTCCACGTTATATTTTCAATATACCCCGATTCGCGCACTTAATGAGCAAAAAACTAATAGCTTCCACCGACCACCCAACGTAAGCATTAGGACGCGGGTGGAGCACCTTCGACTGGGAAATTCCATATATCCGTACTCCGATACCTCTCAGTTCCACAGCAAATGAGCACAGCCAAAGATAATCTGAGTCGGCGGCCCACCAGGGTGCCACAAGAAGTTCGTAAAATCCACCGTTAACGCTGGTGCTTTTTCTCTGTAAGCAAAAAAAAAACGTTGATGTGCATGTATGTCCGATAAGTTGTCCCTAATTAAGCGGCAGTCAAAAAGGCAGCTTGCTGTGGCAGGCACATTAAAAAGGGCATCTCGGTGTAGTTTCCACAACAAATTTGGAGCGTCTATAGATCTATTACCTATGGAACTTGCGTTTGGCACATCTCTCGAATTAATCCTGTCCTTCCATTATGCTATTACACTTGTGTCTTTTACATTGTCATACCCACCGGTTATCAATTTTGGGATACTTGTCTATCAGGATATAAACTAGAATATTCACTGTGACTGTTCGGAATACGGATCTATCAAAGCCCAATGTTATTATGAGATTACTTTGCAAGTCAAGTTGTTTTTCTACCTCACTTCCCCGTACGCTTTGCTCTTTTCTTTGGATATTGATATGCACTTCAAGGAAATGCGTGTGGCTATGATGACTCATTATGTAACCAAAGAACCATAATTAATAGCATTGTCCCCAGTGTTTTGATTGCTGTTACCCTAATCCCACTACACTGGTGTTGTAGTGGAGTAAAGTACCTGGCTTCGTTAACAATAACGATGCGATTATATACAACATGATCCCCTTTTCTCATGATTGGGGGTGGAGTCAGGTATCTACCTAAATGTATTGCGATCTGTAGCTACATCCCGCGCTAAATGCGCGTTTGTTATTTGGTAGAGCAATAATCAGTGATCACGTATTATCCGGGTAGCCTGAAAATGCTAGAAAATACAGAACTAGGAATACCATGTGTGATAGATGTGCTTCTTGCACATCTATCACACCAAGTCAATACTATCATGTGATAAGAATAAGCTTTGCTACCGTATCTCTCTCCCTTGTGCTGGCCGGTCAGCCTGCCCAGACCACGCCGGCGCGGTCAGTAGCCGTTCCGGAATAACCCACAAAAGGGAGCGGGGTGGCCCGCGGGCGCCGCTGTCGGCAGCCACGCTCACCAGCCCGTCCGTCTGTCCGTCTGTCTGTCTGTCTGCCGCAGTCTGTCTGTTTGTCTGTCTGTCGCGCTGTGGCGGCGGGCTGTGGCCGCGCCTCTCTCCACGCCTAAGCCCCCGACACTTCGAGCTGCGGCCAGCCGAGCCCGACTAGAGAGCGCGCGGTGCGGTGCGTGCGACCATACACCCAGCTGACGCGCCGGGTGCATCCCGTCACCAGACGGCACGCTTTCTTCCTGCGGCTGTCATTGGTGCAATGAGACGGCAACATACATCTCAATGTGGCCGGTGGTGGAGGGTGGAGAGACGGGCGTTCGTCTGTGTATAACTCATTGAACGGTGAGCACATCGGATGTGTGTAAACGCCGGGATGTTTACATTTTACAACGCAAGGTACTGCGGGGCTGGTTTCATCCATGACAGGAAATGATTTAAGTGGTAGAACGCATCACTGCATCACACTCACCACTAGTTCAGTCGGAAGGAATTACACTCAATTCATTTATACCTATTTATACCTTTTTTATTTGCAAGTACGGATGGATACTTTCATAAAAAAATGTTGATATTTAGTATGCTTTTTTTTGCTCTCGCTAGCAATATTATTACCAGTATAGCGCCTTTTGGGGCGACTAACGGAGCGAGCGAAGGGGTGAGTCTTGCACGTGCGAAATTTCGAGGGGGTACCTCCAACTGACTTGTGCAGGGCACCCTACTGACTGGTCTCTAGCGATGTGCCAAATTTGGGCACAATCGGCCCAGCCGTTCTCGAGATCTGGAAGCGGCACCCTGCACGTGCGCACGTGCAAAATGGGTCCCAACTGACTTGTGCACGGCACCCTAGTAACCGGTCCCTAACTGTGTACCAAATTTGAGCGCAATCGGTCGAGCCGTTCTCGAGATCTGGAAACGACCCCTGCACGTGCGCACGTGCAGCGGCACCCAACTCTGGCACATGGATATGCAGTGCCTAGTGGGTGCCTACCTACATGCCAACTTTCAGCGCAATCGGCCAAGTAGTTACCGAAATATTGCAACAATTACAAAAGTGACACCTCTTCGTTTTGCACGTGGCACGTGCATAAGGGGTCACCCACATGCATCGGGAATAGTCCAATACTTGGTAGAAGGAATGAAGCTACCCTACAAAAATTACCGCATGTATATCGGTCAAGTGGTTGCTGAGATATAAGCCTCGCAAAAGCGTCCGCACGGCCGGCCGGCCGGCCGGCCGCTCATACTCAGAAATTTCCGTTATTCTACGTAAGACTCCGCTCGCTTCGCTCGCTCCGTAACTACACTTACCACTTCATGTTCTCTTACCACTTCATATGCAATGAGTTTGTTTTGCCATTAGGTAAAGGCATGATGCATGCACCAATCAGCCTGCTGAAGTGCAGTCGTCCATCATATTGGAGCCTCTGTTACCATCGAGAATATCCGGCGGTGGCGACGGTAGCCATGGCGGTGACGAAAGAGGAGAAACTCGGAGCGCGCGCCGCCGTACGTCGACCTCACCCCCCCCCCCCCCCCTATCACTGTCCTGAAGGACCCCCGGCCGGCCGGCCCGTCACCTTGGCCTGGAGGACCAGCACCCTACCACGGCAGTCTCGTAGGACCGGCACCCTGATCGTGTCCATCTTAGACCAGCAACGGTCCTGAAGGATAGACCATCGTCACTGATCTGAAAGACTGTTGTTTGCAAGACTCTGTCCCAGAGCACCGTCGGTTCCTCTATCGCACTCGATGACCAATCGGGCCGCGAGCCGTCATCTGGTGCCCGCCATGGGCTCCGCGCCGCCGCCGGCGATGACCAGGCATCACAATCAGAGGGAAGAGAAAACGGGCCTCTCCCGCCGGCTCTGACCGGCCGTCGTCCAACGCCCGTCGATATGCGCACGAGTGCCATGTTGCGCAAGTGGCGATGTTTTCTCTTCTGACGACGGCTGGCCGGCCGGGAGAGATCCAGAGTCGGACTCGGAAGCGCAGCCAGCCGTGGAGAAGGGCTGTCGTGACGGCGGTGCGGGCTGACTGAATGGTAATCAGAGAAATTTTACTGAGCGCGGGCCAGTCATGGCCCAAAGAACCGCGATATTTTAGAAATGGAACTGAATAACATTAATGATACGGGTTTTCCAGGCTTCTATTCCCATTCTAAGACCGGTCATTTGATGCCCGTTTATAGTTACTTGTGAGTTAAAAGTGCAGACCACATTCCGTTTCGTTCCACTCATTGATTCCTAAATGCCGTCCATTGCTCGAGCTCGGTTAGCCTTTCATAAAGGCATCATCGAGGTAAATTTTCAGCTCCTCATTAAATCTTCCAAACGGAAGTAGAATATACAGCCGGTAGGTATTGGAACTTTCAAAACCCTCAACATCGAGGTAATCATCTAGGTAAATTTTCAGCTCCTCATTATATCTTCCAAACGGAAGCAGAAAATAAAGCCGGTTGTGCAACTTTTAAAACACTCAACAGCATTCAAAATTAAAGTTTCCATTCATTGAGTTTAAACGGACGACCAACAAATATGTTCTCAATGTAATGTTAGCCGTGAATGGACGGTTTACAAACTGTCAGCGCTCGCTCCTCCTCCCTCCCTTTCCTCGAAGTGCCGGCGCCGCGCTGAGGAGGCCGCCGGACGCCCGCCATCGTGGCCATCACCGCTGCCGCGCCGTAGTTTCACCAGCCGAATAAAACGTGGCGCGGCGGGCCGCGCGCGGCGCCGGCGGCCGGGACCGCTTTCTCCCGGCGCCGGGGTCGGTGGCCGAGCGACGTTTTCTCCAGAAAACGTGTCGCTCTTCCGGAGCGGCGCTCGTCGCCGACAGAGGAGGGAGCGAGGGACCGAGAGAGGGAAGGCGGACCACCGTCGCCGCAGAGCGCCGCTTCGACACGGTGCGGCCGCATGTTACGTCACGGCGAACAGTCGAACAGCGCGACACCCGGGGGAAGTTTTTAGCACCCTCCGGCGGTCTGCGGCGGCGGCGGCGGGGCGACTTTCTACAGCGCGGCGCGATGATGCGGCGCACTTCCGTTCTCCAACCGCGTCCGGGGAGAAGGAGCGCGCTGGTGCAAGGTATCCGGCCCGTCCCGGCCCGCCTGCAGTGGAGCGTCTCCTGCACGAGCTGCCACCAGCCGGGACCGGATCGGTCGGCCCGACTGTGACGAAATGCTGCGGCCGGCGGCGCCAGAGGTCGGTGACCCGACTGGGGGCCGCAGTGCCGCTCCACAGCCGCTCCCACATTCCTCCACACGGAGATTCACTACCGGAGCCCCCGGCACCCCGACAGCGAGGCTGACTGACCTGGCACTGGCTGTGCAATGCGCACCTCTGCAGAGCCTGGGAGGGTGCCAACAGCTCATTTGAATGGAAGATAGCCGTGTCTGCGCGCCCATCCATAAACATATTCAGTGTTACGCAGCAGTCTTTTAGGCAAAATAGGCGTGCCAACTGCACAATGCACATGGGCCAAGATAATACGCCTTTATCTTGTCACATCGTCGCTGCATATATTTCTCCTATCCGGCTTCATGCCTTCATCCAATACCTACTTCAATCTTTAGAGGTGTGACACTTCAACGTCGTCATTAGTAGCCAAAGACAGCACAGCTGCCAGTCCGGTAAATAAAACATAACAATAGTTAACACTTAACACGGACGCCAGGTAATCCTAAACCGATGGCTGACTCTCGTTTCTCCCTCTCCTGTCCTTTTAGTTCAGTGCTAGTATGCCTCCAGTCCCGACCATGCTACTACTTCTCTGGAGTTCTCCACAACACCATTTTCCCAGAACGCAGATATAGTGTAGAGAGCTGGGCTTCTCGCAGCGCCACGACTCCTGACTTTCTTACGCCACTTCAAAGAAGCACCGAAGGGCCTTCGGTGCTTCTTTGAAGTGGCGTAAGAAAGTCAGGAGTCGTTAAAAGCGCCGTTGGACATTTGCGTAACCCTCAATGAGTCTTCTTTGGCTGGGCAGTATCCGTTCCATGGTGACTAAGCCGGACATGAGCAAGTTCCGTTAGCGCTGGTCAAGTCCGGGTCAGGTCACATGAGGCCGGAAAGCCACCGGTACGCTCCGGGTCAGCCGCGAGGCAGGGCGTGACATATCGTGTCAGGTAAGGTCAGGTCTGGGCAGCTGAGTCTATTCAGCTTGTGTTAGAAAGAGTCTTATCAGGTCAGATCAAGTCAGCCCGTGCCAGGTCAGGTCAGATCAGCTCGTGTCAGGTCAGGTGCGCAACTCACCGGTGCGGTAAATGTCGGGCTCCAGCACGTCGTACAGGTACTGGGTGTGGTTCAGTCCGAGCTCGGCCAGCGAGATCAGCGTGCTGAGCTCGCGGGTGCCGGGGGTGCCCCTCTGCCGGCCGGCCAGATCGGCGGCCCCCCACTGGCCGCTGGCCGGCCGCAGCTGCAGCCAGCACGCGCAGGCCACTAGCAGCGCCCTGTAATGGAAAAACACGGGTCAGCGGACGGAAACAAGTGCGTAGAGGACGTGGGATAACAAAGGAGTTATTGTGTAAAACGGCCTCAGACAAAACGATCTCAGTTGACCTACTCACTACGCCGATACCTGAGAAAAGGCAGGTACGTAACTATAACAGGAGCTAGGCTGTGTTTATGTTATTGAGCTAGAATCAGTGTCTCCGTTGCAGCCTTGGAAGTCACGACAGTCAGCTATGTACTCACGTTTCAAGACTAAATGGTAAAGGCAAACTAACCTTCCGGGATCGGACGTTTTTATAACAGCGTTCGATTTCCGCATTCGCTGGCGATTTAATTAGTGACGTAACGGTATTTGATGAAATGATACCAAGGCGATGTGTTGGGAAAAGCTTTGGAAGTTCCTTTCATGGAAATGGGGGGAAAGAGAGAGAGAGAGAGAGAGAGGAGAGAGAGAGAGAGAGAGAGAGAGAGAGAGAGAGAGAGAGAGAGAGAGAGAGAGAGAGAGAGAGAGAGAGAGAGAGAGAGAGAGAGAGAGAGAGAGAGAGAGAGAGAGAGAGAGAGAGAGAGAGAGAGAAGGAAGAGAGGAAAAAGATGAAGAATAGAAAAATTGGAAAAAGTTTAAAAAAAAACGACAAGAATAACATTGAGGAAAGGTTAATTATAAGATAACAACGAATGAAAATGAATGAACCGTATATGTGCTGAGATCAATCAGAAGTGAGCTGACCGGCAACTCTCAACCCTACCGCATCCCTACGCTGAACCACCGATGACATTATGTAAATACAGAGAGGCCCGAGTCCTGGTTCGTGTCCCGGTGCCTCGGCGGCCGTCCCGGAACGTCAGTTGTCGCGGTCACGGGTGAGCGCCCCTGACTGACCTCTAGCTGGCCCGCACCGACCCGAACTCTAGCCGACACGGCCTCTGAGTAACGGTGGACGGGTGGCAGAGCTGGGAGCTGCGGAGGACAGAGCCCGGAGCTCGGAGAGCGAGAGCCCGGAGCTCAGAGAGCGAGCTCTCGAGAAGGTGGAGAAAATGTATTGTGATATCTTGGCCGGCTCCTGGCCACTGCTATATTGTTAAAGTGTTGTGGCGTAGCGTAACGCTCTGACTGGTGGAACGTATTTTTGAACGAAATAAGCGGCCAAATAAATCACATGTAATTGTGTACATCGCCTGAAACTATGTATTTTGTATGCATTATTTGGCGTAGGCATAGTGCTCTGGTCTATTTTTCATTTGTTCCGTAGCTTACAGTTATCCCTCCAAAGATCCTCTCGATACCTGAGTACATACATGTTTACTGAAATGTCCTAGCCAACCAGCTTCCGCGTAACGACACGACATTGCCCAACCAGGCAGCGGCGGTCTCTAAGGTGCTCAGAATACCAGCAAGCCAGCTCCCCCCGACTCAGATTTGTGAACTGATTTCTTCACACTCCTGAGTTCACTCGAAACACACGACTAACAAATCTTCTTACACGGAAGACATGCGCAAGAAGCACCATTCCACGAACCTTAGCGAACGTACGGACCTTTCTATAAGGGCCGGCGGCGCTAGCGATAACGCATATGGTATGCAGGACGGCCACAGGACCGGTCTCCCGACGACAGGATGGGAGACAGGACATCAGCGTCGTCATCTCGCCGCCACCTCGCCGCGAACGTCCCCGCCGCGCCACTCATGACGCACGACGCGTGTTTTATGAGGGAAAGTTTCGCCGGACCGTGCATGTGAGCTGCTCATCAGCATACCGAGCTGGCGCGAGCGGGTGTTTAAGCAGACAACATTGCGTGGCGCGCAGAATCGGCGCCGCTAAAAACGCGCGATGGACTGGCGGTGCGGCGCGATTTGGTCACCTCTCTCTCTCTCTCTGGCGCTGACGGCGTGCCGACGCTGGGGCGGTCGGTATGCGGTCCACGTGCACTGGTGGTGCTCAGACAGTGCCGCAGCGGGCTGACCCGTGCAGTGCGACTCTGCTATCGCCACCGCCGGAGCTGGTTTCCCACGTACACGCTGCCGCCGCCGCCGGTGTGAGTGTGTGTGAGTGTGTGTGTGTGTCGTAACAGTCGCCGGTTCGGGTATAGTTGTCTGAGTCCTCCGGGGGTGGGGAGGGAGGACCGGGCCCCACACAGCGCGCGTCAGCCACTCGAGGAATGCACCGCCGTTCACCGAGCGCTTTGGCCGGAAATGGCCGCAGACGGGTCCTGCTGCACTCTGAACACATTAGGGCGTGGTGGATATGAACGCTTTAAAATAGCTGCAATAAGGACGCTACTCGCGGGATGGGTTAAAATTAGCGCATCATATCGGAAGCCATAATGCGCTCCATTTCTCCAATTCGCTCCAACATAACTTTAAAGCTATGACGCAGTTTGTCTGCAGCTGACCTTTAAAATGTGTCGATTGCGTCACTGTTTGATAATTTCCCTCCCGAGTTCACCGACACACGGAGAGCCGCCGCGATCCATTGTGATATGATAATGGTCCTCCGCTCACCGAACCAGCCGGTGACGTAACCACCGCGGACGCCATGTCGGTCCTGATATGGCCGCCCGGGCTTCCGGCATCTGTCGGTACATTCTCGCGCCACCTCTCCATTTTGAGATCGCATTACGTCCATGATTGGCCCTGATTTACCCAAACTCACGCATGAGGGTCCGCACTTTAAGTGCGAATTAGCTGAATCTGTTTGCTTTATTGCTATTTTTCAAACAAATTGTGGTTCATTATTTCCTGCATCAGAACAGCAGCCCAGCACATCCTCAATGCCGGTGCTCTTAACCCTCGCACGACCAGGCCATTTCTCATAACACGAACGACCAGGGGGGGGGGTTGTTACGACCCCCCCCCCCTGGCGTTTCGAAACGGAAGGTCGTAGAGCTTAGCGGAGAAAACCAACGGATTGCTCTCAACGAGATCTCGCGATTGGTGGTATATTTTTTGGTCCTAGGTCAACATTTGACTTACTTATGACCGGTCAAAGGTCAAATTTTCCGAAAAAAATCAAACTTTTTCAACTTTCCGCGGCGATTGCGGCAAAACGGTGGGAGATATCGACTTGAAACCTTCACTATCGTGTTCCTTGATCAATTCTCTATCGTTTGGTATGTATTTCGTTTCCCTAGCTCTAAAAATGGCGCGTTGGGAGCGCCGGAAGTCGGCAAGGTCACAGTCGGCGGCAGAAATTCGAAAAATCAAAATTTAAATTTTTGAAATCTGATTGTATTTTTGGATTTGGGAGGTCCATTTGCTACCTATAGAAGCTAATATTGCTGCATATTCCCATTGAGGTGACAAGAATTAGCAAAATAGTGGTTCGGGCGCTTTTCAAAAATAGTACCGGACGCTGTTCCTCTTGTGACGTCATAGCTCCGTGACCTGACCTGACCCGGTCAATTTTCTTGCACCACACGATAGCCAATGCTTGCCCCAACATGCATGGGAAGTTTCATCATGATCCATCAATGATCCATCAAAACAATGTGGGTATCACCGGCAGAAAACCTAGGGATTCGGCGCACACGTTTGGTAACTGTCGGCCGGAGGCTGTACCTCTTATGACGTCATAACTCCGTGACCTGACATGACCCGATCAATTTTTTTTCGGCAAAAGATGCGCAAAGGTTGCCCCAGAGGGTATTGAAAATTTCAGCCCGCTACGACAAGCCGTTTAGCGTGCACTTCGAAAAAGCCTCAGGGGAGGGGGGTTGATACAACCCCCCCCCCCCCTAGGCGTTCTAGGGTTAAGTCTTAACCTTCTTTGCTCCTGCAACCGTATTGCTGGAGCCTGTGGACCTGAGTGTGGAGCCATTCATGCAGATTGGTGTTACTGTGTAACGCACAACTGCAGTCACCATGTATTGCGGCTCACTCTACAACTGCAGTGAGTCCGGCTGACGGAGACTGCAGGGACTACACAGAAAGGTAGCCAAGTACTGCGGCACAGCCTATCCTGTGAATCTTGGCCTGGGCCCTGGACTCCTGGACGCTCTTCGCAATGGATCGAAAGTTAGACAATTTCCAGTCAAAATTGCCCCATGATTTCGTTTTGATCATCTAACAAAATCAAAGACATAATTTCTGATTACGGGCATTCTGAAGCATGATTCACGAATAAGTTTATAAATCACTTTGTTCCAATATTCCTACACATTAAAACATCTAAATATTGTTTTGGGGATTATTTCTCTGCAGTTCTTCCAAGCTTGACGTCTACATAGTACATATAGCCTTTGTTTGCTTTACCTACGAATGTCGAGTGAATAATTCGAAACGTCGGAGCGTAGGTATTTGACGGCATGAAAGTTCTCTCTCTCTCTCTCTCTCTCTCTCTCTCTCTCTCTCTCTCTCTCTCTCTCTCTCTCTCTCTCTCTCTCTCTCTCTCTCTCTCTCTCTCTCTCTCTCTCTCTCTCTCTCACACACACACACACACACACATTCCCTCTTTTTCTTAACCGAGTAAAAAGGACCATAAGCAAAAATTATTCCATCGCAACCACGTTCCCTTTGAATTCATCAATAGTCATCTTCCTCACGACTTCCCACCACTCGAATGTACCACCTCACGCTCCGCGTCTCCTTCCGCGTGGCAGCGAAGGCGCAGCATCTGTCGCCAGCTACCCCCCAGACCCCGCGCACGCCGTCGCCGCCAAACAGCCAGTCGTCGATAGCGAAAGTGAAACGGTTTGGCCGCCCGGCCGGAGGGTCTGTCTGGCCGAGCGAGGGAGCCATGTGACCAGAGTCTGTCGTCGGCTCTCTCTCCTCTGACGAGAGTCATCGTCGACTCGGCACCTTCGGCGCGACAGCAGGGATTGGTGGGATTTCCAGACGCGAAACGGGAAAGGCCGGGATAAAGTGCTCAGCTACTGTAGATTTGTCGTGAGCATTTTGGGCGTGGTGACTGTTGAACAAGTTGCCTTGCTTCTTTTAACTGCATACCGAAGCGCCTGTGTGCTGAAGAAAATGATAAACTGCTATTTTTTTCCATAAGCTATT